GAAGATCACAGGTTCAAGATTATTTGAACTTCACCGGCATAATTGTTAATATCTCTATTGTCCCCTGGGATATGTAGGATTACATCAATTAAATTGGTCTCTGTAACAGAACGCATTAACCATAAATGTGACGACTTTGTCTTCCCCAGAACCCTTTAGGTATTTAATTTGCTTGCCTGTAATAGATTGTCAGAGCAGTAAACGTGAGGAAAGTAATGTAAGTGGTGTAATGATGGTAATTATCTGAATGGATCGATTGTAGTGTTATTGCAACATGATATTGTGGGTAGGAGTGAGAGAGAGACATCCCATATAAATTCCCATTTTCAGCTTTACTTCCTTACACAGTTTTTCCAAGACGTTTAAAGTGAAAACAACGTAAACTGGCATTGCCATTCTCTCCTTTATCTATTCCCATTATCCTTTGTGCGGTTGCCTTACTGAAACCAGCAGACCCCACACAAGCTCAATTTCTCCAAAGAAAGCAGCGACTTTATAGAATTGGAATTCTGGCAGTTCCCCTGTGATTCACAGTATTCAAATATTTGAACTGGAAGTCGCTTTGTAGATTGGCTAGGCTGTTCCCTTCATTTATTACCTAAAGAACTGTAAACCCAGCAACGTTAAATGGCTCGCTAAAGGTTTCATGATGGGTATTGCCATATAGACTGCCACACTGGGGCTAGAAACTAGAACCGGTCCTCCCACCTCGACTGAGGGAGGACCTCGGAGGTAACACCAGCTGCAGGTATGAATGAAGTTCAGTGTGACAGGCCACAACAGTCCCTGAAGGAAACAGCAGCGAGCAAAAGGAAACAGCTTCAGTTGAGTGTTGGGAGGTGGAGGGGGGAGGGGTGGAAACGAAGAGAAGAAACAGCCTAGGAATAACCAATATTGAATAAGCAGATAATCAGTGGAGGTGGAATCACTGGGCTGTGTGGCAGATGTCTACCCATGACAAGAATGTAGGAAAGAAGTCAAAGTCGAGTATTAGTACTGGTACCTGAAGAAGAAACAGGGGTTTGAATCCTGGGACTCAAACCAGGAATAGGGTGAGATGATCTAACACTAGCAAGACCACATCCAAAACGGCTTCTCCCAGCAATTTCCCTCAACTTTTGTGCCCCGTTGTCATTTGATCACTCGACCTGAATTTCATTGTTGATTAAACTAACAAACTGGTCTAAAGCTGGGGCTTTTAATATATCTGTCAAAGAAAACATTGCAGTCATCAGAGGCACAAAGAAAACCACATATGACCCATGTCTTCTGAGTTACTGGAAAATAGAACATTAGAACTCCAAATTACTGTTAAGTAGAAAGATAAAAATGAAATATCCACAGAACAAAGGCTACAAGCCTGTGTGTCCCAGGCGAGGGTGGGAGCAGAGGGTGTGGGGAAAACATTCCCAGTACTGGCCATGGATGGAGACCGGAAGTGCCCAGTGCTGGCTGTAGGGCAGGGCTTGAAAGTGCGGGGAACCTGAGATAACTGTCTCAGAGAAGCAGTGTTTCTGGAGAGAGGGAAGCAAGGAAAAAGGAAGAGGTGCCATTTGAAGATCTGGTTCTGATAGAAAAAAGGAAGAGAGAAAATTCTAAGATGCTAAAGAAATGAAGAAAATATATGACCACCTCCTCCAATCATCATGTGTTAAAGAAGCTAAAACAAGGATAGGTGCAGGGTCGAAGAACGGGACATGAATGTGAAACATGCTGATTTAAGCAGAAAGAATGTGACAAGAGGATTGGTAGGAATTGTGGCATATGTAATTGCAGAGAGCTAAGGGACATCATTGTAACTTGATAGTAACAATAAAGTAAGACACAGAAGGGAGTAGAGAACACTATAAATGAACCTGTAAGAGGTGGAGGGCCATGGAGGACAAGGGGTGGGAGAGGAAGTGACCCTTTGCTGAGTATATCTTTTGGTATAGTTTTGACACTGGGAATCATATTAACGCTTTCTATATTCAAAAATGGAAGTGAAATGCACAAGAAGAGAAATTAAATATTACTACCATCAGAAACAAATGGACTGAACTCCAGGAAGGAATGAATAGCGTAACCATTATGAAAGGGAGACAGTTACCAATCTAGTAACTTTGAACACAATATTGTTACTATTTATACCTGCATTCTAAAGAAAAAACAAATTGTGAACTCTTCTTACTACTGTTTTTCATAGTGTAACAATTTTGTATGTGCAGTAGGGTTGAATAAATGAGTAAATGTAATAATAGTGAATGCCTGTGTTCTCCCTGCAGTAAAGGAAGACACAAATAAGAAAAGGAGAAGGCAAGGAAGAATTCTGTAGGGGATGGAGTGTGTGTGTGTGTGTGTGTGTGTGTGTGTGTGTGTGTGTGTAGGTGTAGTGAAGAGAAGAAGAGAGAAACCCTTTTACTGAAAGGGACTGGAAGAAATGACCTCTCAGTAGCAATGGGAACACATTAATACTCAGATCATAGTTTCCAAATATCATTCCCCAACAAAAAAGCAAACATGATTCCTTAGAGAAATGGCTGATTTCAGGAATGGGGCAGAGAAAAAGCAAAGTGGGCTTGAAACATTTTCTTGTGCCTAAAAAGAGTCTTTTCTCAAAATTATGGAAATATGGGGGCTCGGTCAGTTAAGCATCTGACTTTTGATTTCGGTTCAGTCATGATCTCATGGTTCGTGGGACCAAGTCCTGTGTGTGGCTCTATGCTGACAGAGCCTGTTTGAGGGTCTTCTCTCCCTCTGTCTTTGCCCCTCCCCAGCTTTGTGCTCTCTCTCTTTCTCCAACTAAATGAATAAACATCAAAAAAAAAAAAATGATGGAAACATGTCAAAAGGCACAGGTTACAAGGGTTCACCTTTCTAAAGTTGGAACAATTTGGGCATCAAAATAAATTCAGTAATGACTTAGAACCCTTTCAATAATATAAGAGCCCATGTATTCATATAGGTAAATAACAAATAGGAAAAGCACTTTCTTAGAAAAAATGCAAACTCATAAGTGTAAGTAGAATAATGGAGTGAGAAATCAACGTGTGCAAACATAATAATCATTGATTCAGGCAAGATTCAATGGTTGCTAAGATAAATTGATAAAAGTTTGATGAGAAATAGTATATTTTCATAGTCTAAAAATATCTCTGCATGATTTATTTATTAACTACAAAAGGCAAGTGATTTTGAAATACATTTGGCAGACCCCACCTTAACCACATGATCAAAGTTAACATGTCCAATAACAGGTATATGGGTATGACATAATTATGTGCACTGAGAAGGACCCAGCATCACACACACACACACACACACACACACACACACACAC